GTGAAAAAAGTTATTTATTTTTTAAATCCAAGCTTTGTGTCACCAGATCTAAGTGGTGGCACTGGTCACCGTATCCACTGTTAGCGTAACACACCTGCTTGAAGATAACTAACTGCTATTCAATCTATAACAGTGAAAAAAGTGGTTTTTTTTAAAATCCAAGCTATTGTGACACCAGATATAAGTGGTGGCACTGGTCACCGTATCCACTGTTAGCGTAACACACCGCTTTAAGGACACTGACTGCTATTCAATCTATAACAGTGAAAAAAGTGTTTTGTTTTTTAATCCAAGCTTTGTGTCACCAGATCTAAATGGTGGCACTGGTCACCGTATCCACTGTTAGCGTAACACACCCGCTTTAAGGACACTGACTGCTATTCAATCTATAACAGTGAAAAAAGTGTTTTGTTTTTTTAAATCCAAGCTTTGTGTCACCAGATCTAATTGGTGGCACTGGTCACGTATCCACTGTTAGCGTAACACACCCGCTTTAAGGACACTGACTGCTATTCAATCTATAACAGTGAAAAAGTTTTTTTTTTTTAAATCCAAGCTATTGTGACACCAGATCTAAGTGGTGGCACTGGTCACCGTATCCACTGTTACCGTAACACACCCGCTTTAAGGACACTGACTGCTATTCAATCTATAACAGTGAAAAAAGTGTTTTGTTTTTTTAAATCCAAGCTTTGTGTCACCAGATCTAATTGGTGGCACTGGTCAGCGTATCCACTGTTAGAGTAACACACCGGCTTTAAGGACACTGACTGCTATTCAATCTATAACAGTGAAAAAAGTGTTTTGTTTTTTTAAATCCAAGCTTTTGTGTCACCAGATCTAATTGGTGGCACTGGTCAGCGTATCCACTGTTAGCGTAACACACCCGCTTTAAGGACACTGACTGCTATTCAATCTATAACAGTGAAAAAATTTTTTGTTTTAAATCCAAGCTATTGTGACACTAGATATAAGTGGTGGCACTGGGCAGCGCATCCACTGTTAGCGTAACACACCCGCTTTAAGGACACTGACTGCTATTCAATCTATAACAGTGAAAAAAGTGTTTTTTTTTTTAAATCCAAGCTATTGTGACAACAGATCTAAGTGGTGGCACTGGTCACCGTATCCACTGTTAGTGTAACACACACCCGCTTTAAGGACACTGACTGCTATTCAATCTATAACAGAGAAAAAAAGTGTTTTGTTTTTAAATCCAAGCTTTGTGTCACCAGATCTAAGTGGTGGCACTGGTCACCGTATCCACTGTTAGCGTAACACACCTGCTTGAAGATAACTAACTGCTATTCAATCTATAACAGTGAAAAAAGTTTTTTGTTTTTAAATCCAAGCTTTGTTTCACCAGATATAAGTGGTGGCACTGGTCACCGTATCCACTGTTAGTGTAACACCCGCTTTAAGGACACTGACTGCTATTCAATCTATAACAGTGAAAAAAGTTTTTTTTTTTAAATCAAGCTATTGTGACACCAGATATAAGTGGTGGCACTGACTGGGAAATGGGCACAGTATGCACTGTGAGCCTGACACAGAAGCTGGCAGCAGTGGCAGACAACTGACTGCTATTCAATCTATAACAGTGGAAAAAGTTTTTTGTTTTTAAATCCAAGCTATTGTGACACCAGATGTAATTGGTGGCACTGACTGGGGAAATGGGCACAGTATGCACTGTGAGCCTGACACAGAAGCTGGCAGCAGTGGCAGACAACTGACTGCTATTCAATCTATAACAGTGAAAAAAGTTTTTTGTTTTAAATCCAAGCTATTGTGACACCAGATGTAAGTGGTGGCACTGACTGGGGAAATGGGCACAGTATGCACTGTGAGCCTGACACAGAAGCTGGCAGCAGTGGCAGACAACTAAGTGCATTTACATTAGATAGAAAAAAAAAATCCAAAAAAAGCATACCCTTATCCCTAACCTAGCTATGCTTTTCCCTATCTTATGAACAGCAGCTACACTTTCCCTCCTCTTACTAAGCATGCAGCTTGAGAATGAATCTAAAATGGATGCCTTCCAGGAGATGGGAGGGTCTGCTAGGGAGGGTGTGCTGCTAATTGGCTGGAATGTGTCTGCTGACTGTGAGGTACAGGGTCAAAGTTTACTCAATGATGACGAATAGGGGGCGGGTCGAACCGCGCATATGTTCGCCCGCCGTGGCGAACGCGAACATGCTATGTTCGCCAGGAACCGTTCGCCGGCGAACCGTTCGGTACATCACTATAGTACATTTGCGGCCTGCGGTGTACTTCATATCTGAGAGTCAAATAGTACTGTCAAATACTGTGGTTACATCGCACTTTGAAAAATTCACATTTCATTGGTGCTAAATAATACATTTGGGGCCTGCACTTCATATCTGAGAGTCAAATAAAACCGTCAAATACTGCTGTGACATTGCAGTTTGACTAATTCACATTTCTTTGGTGCTAAATAGTACATTTGGGGCCTGCACTTCATATCTGTGAGTCAAATAGAACCGACAAATACTGCTGTGACATTGCAGTTTGACTAATTCACATTTCTTTGGTGCTAAATAGTACATTTGAGGCCTGCACTTCATATCTGCGAATCAAATAGAACCGTCAAATACTGCTGTGACATTGCAGTTTGACTAATTCCGATTTCTTTGGTGCTAAATAGTACATTTGGGGCCTGCACTTCATATCTGTGAGTCAAATAGAACCGACAAATACTGCTGTGACATTGCAGTTTGACTAATTCACATTTCTTTGGTGCTAAATAGTACATTTGAGGCCTGCACTTCATATCTGCAAATCAAATAGAACCATCAAATACTGCTGTGACATTGCAGTTTGACTAATTCCGATTTCTTTGGTGCTAAATAGTACATTTGGGGCCTGCACTTCATATCTGAGAGTCAAATAGAACCGTCAAATACTGTGGTTACAGCACAGTTTTAAAAATTCTATTTTTTAAGGTGCTAAATAGTAACTTTGGGGCCTGCACTTCATATTTGTGAGTCAAATAGAACCGTAAAATACTGCTGTGACATTACAGTTTGACTAATTCACATTTGTTTGGTGCTAAATAGTAAATTTGGTATGTGCACTTCGTATCTGAGTGTCAAATAGAACTGCCAAATACTGCTGTGAGATTGCAGTTTGACTAATTCACATTTCTTTGGTGCTAAATAGTACATTTGGTATGTGCACTTCACATCTGAGAGTCAAATAGAACCGTCAAATACTGTGGTTACAGCACAGTTTTAAAAATTCTAATTTTTTAGGTGCTAAATAGTACATTTGGGGCCTGCACTTCATATCTGAGAGTCAAATAGAACCGTCAAATACTGCTGTGACATTGCAGTTTGACTAATTCACATTTCTTTGGTGCTAAATAGTACATTTGGGGCCTGTACTTCATATCTGAGAGTCAAATTGAACTGTCAAATACTGCTGTGACATTGCAGTTTGACTAATTCACATTTCTTTGGTGCTAAATAGTACATTTGGGGTGTGCACTTTATATCTGGTGTATGTGTGCAACACTGGCTAGTTACCGCTTCTCAAGAAAGTCTAAAGACAAATAAGTGTTGCCTATGGTGCAGGTAGTATAGAAGGCAAGACTGAGACAAATCATTCGGGTTACGTTTGCCTGTTGACATGTTAATTATCTTAGACCATTAAAATTCAAGAATCAATGAAAAAACACACTAAGTTTCATACAAAAATATGTATGTTGCAGACCGGCAAGGAGGGCAGGGTTGAGGAGTGGGTGGAAGATGATGTGGAGGATGATGAGGTCCTAGACTCCACATGGAATGAAGGTCATGCGAGTGACGTGTGCAGTTTGGAGGAAGAGGCGGTGGTCGCACAGAGGCACCAGCACAGCATAAGAGGGAGCAGGGTGCAAAAGCAGAGCGGACGTCCACTAGCGATCGTCGGCATGTATTAGCTCTAGAATTACCACAGTTATCCAAGTAACAGATGGAGCGATCAAAGGAACCATAACTGATTTACTGAGCCATTCGCAGTTTCAAAGTATGGTATAGTAGTCTGGTGACCGGGACCCAGACACTGTCTGGGCGACGGTCTGACGACAGGGACCCAGTATGCCTGATGTTGAAGTTAGGAGTCACAGTGTGGAATGGATTAGCAGGGTCTGGTGCAGGTTAACCGCATGCCCCCTGGTGTTGAGCACCAGCATTTGTGCAGCCACATACCAGGACCCTGATGCAGCTTCAGTAAAAAGAGTACTGGATACCAGAAGCCATCACCAGACTGATCCGCAACTTGGAACAGGATGTGATATTCACTGTAGCGGCTGTGCGCGCTTTTGGCGTTCTCACCCTGCTGCTGTTCGCCTCTCTGCGCTGCAGCGTAACTTCGGCCTTCCCACTCACCGCCTCATATACGACGGGCCAACAAGGTGGAACTCCACCTTGCACATGCTGGAGAGACTGTGTGAGCAGCAGCAGGCGATAGTGGAGTTTCAGCTGCAGCACGCATGGGTCAGTCGCTCTACACCAGACGTGCCCTCCAATTGATCCTAGTTAAAGGAATTAAAGTGGACTCATTACAATTACAGGGCCTCTAAAGAATCCTGTATTGTTATTTGTCGTCACTACCGCCCCACGTCGGGAGTGGGTAATTTGCGAGCCTGCTGCCTTCCTTGGATGTGGTAGTCGTTTATCAGGCTCCCTCTCCAGAATCGAACCCTGATTCCCCAATACCCGTGGTCACCATGGTAGACGTAGAAAGTACCATTGAAAGTTGATAGGGCAGACATCCTAATGCGTCGTCGCCGTCACGGGGACGTGCGATTGGCCTGAGGTTCTCTAGAGTCACCAAAGTGCCTGCACAACGACTGCCGAGTTGCCCACATTCTAACTTGTGCTGATTACTGGGTGGCCACTCTGCTGGATCCCCATTACAAGGACAACGTGCCGTCCTTAATTCCATCACTGGAGCGTGATCGGAAGATGCGCGACTACAAGCGCACGCTGGTAGACGCGCTGCGGAGGGCATTCCTAGCTGACACCGGGGACTCAGTGGAAGCACAAGGCGAAGGCAGAGGAGGAGGAAGAGATCGCCAACGCAGCTGGGGCACTGCCAGCACCTCAGAAGGCAAGGTTAGCATGTCCAAAATCTGGAAAAGCTTTGTCAGCACACCACAACAACCAGCACCACCAGCTGATATGGAAAGTCTTAGCAGGAGGCAGCATTTCAGCAACATGGTGGAACAGTACGTGTGCACACGCCTACACGTACTGACTGATGGGTCTTCCCCATTCAACTTCTGGGTCTCCAAATTGGGCACATGGCCCGAGCTTGTCCTTTATGCCTTGAAAATGCTGGCCTGCCCTGCAGCCAGTGTATTGTCTGAACGTGTGTTTAGCACAGCAGGGGGTGTTATGACAGACAAGCGCAGCCGCCTGTCCACAGCCAACATGGACAAGCTCACGTTTATTAAAATGAACCAAAAATGGATCCCACCAGACCTGTCTGTACCTTGTGCAGAATAAACATTTATACCGGCCTCACCGAGCCATTGTTATATTCAAGTGGACTTATTCTTTGTTTTGTTTTTTTATATGTCCCAATATTTTGGGGGCTACCCCAATAAAAAAAAAAAAAAAAACAGTATTGGCTACCTCCTCCTCCTCCACCGCCGCTTCCACCTCCACCACCACGATCACCGCCTCCTCAACCTCCTATTCCACATCCACCTCCTCCTCCTAGAGCAGGGTGCAAAAGCGGAGCAGCTGTCCCCTAGAAAGTACACCTGCTACTGCCCACCGCACCCAGGGACCGAGCACACCAAAGCAAGCTCCAAGTAGTTCCCTGGCATGGCAGTTCTTCAGATGATGTGCTGATGACAAGACACTGGTGGTTTGCATGCGAGGCATAAACGTTCTAAACCTGAGCACAACCTGCATGACCAGGCATTTACATGCAAAGCACGAGCTGCAGTGGAGTAAGCACCTCAAAAAACAAGAAAAGTCTCAGGCTCCTCCTGCTTCCTCTTCTGCTGCTGTCTCGGCCTCTTCCTCCACCTCTGGAGTGACAGTGGCACCTGCCACCCCACAAACAGAGGATGTGGAAGCAACGCCACCACGTCCGCCACCGTCCCCAAGCATCTCCACACTGTCCCAAGGAAGCGTTCAGCTGTCCATCTCCCAAACAGTGGAGAGAAAGAGGAAGTATCCCCCTGCCCACCCGTGTTCTCTGACCCTGAATGTCAGCATTTCAAAATTCCTGCCCTTTGAAATGCTGTCATTCCTTCTGGTGCAGTCAAACAGTTTTAAAAACCTGATGGCATTATTGGACTGCAAGAAATGCACCACAGGCCGCAAATGTTTCTTTTTTTATATGTCCCAATATTTTGGGGGCTACCCCAATTAAAAAAAACAAAAAAACAAATAAAAAACAGTGTTGGCTACCTCCTCCACCGCCGCTTCCACCAAACCGCCACGGTCACCACCTCCTCAACCTATGGGTCACTTAGTATAAACTATGTACACAATAGCAGAGGCTTGTGAAGGCGTTTTCCATGCATCAGGAGTTGAGTTCAGTTTGAACAATGAAAGAGAATACCCTGCACTCCAGCTCTCTCTCAAATGGATAATTCTGGTGCTCCTCCTGATATCCATGCTTTAGATTTTGATTTATGTTCTTCCAAAGCTAAAATCATAGATTCCATCTAGTGCTATCTTATGGCTCAGCTGTATTTTTAATTTTTATGTATTTTATGTTATTTTAAGTGATTTTCCTATCCACATTTGTTTTCAGGGCACTTGTCCTACTCTTACCCCCATTTTACTTCCTTTTGCAGCCCTCTAGCCCTTTCCAGGACTTTTTTAGAGTAATTTTAGTGCCCAAAAGTTCGGGTCCCCGTTGACTTCAATGGGGTTCGGGGTCAAGTTCGAGCCCGAACGCGAACCTTTTGAAGAAATTCGGCCGAACTCGGCAAACCCGAACATCCAGGTGTCCGCTCAACTCTACTAAGGTACCACCCTCTCTCTCCCCAAAACCACTCACTTTCATCTGACCAGTCTCTGATCATCTTACTCTGTGGATGATAACCTATGGTTTGTAATTCTAGGTTACCATCAGCCATTTAACGGATGCATGCTTGAAAGGCCGGTGCAAACACGGTTTTAGGGGAAATTCCACTATAAATGAACTTGCTTGTTCATTGTTTCTGTCACTTGTTTCTGACTTATATCTTGAATAATTTTCTTTAAAAGCACAAATAAAGATTTTTTATTTGTTTTTAAAGTCAAGGTACACAGCACTCCCTCAAGGAATATACGAGTAATAGGACAAGTGATTAAGCTTTAAAAGAACCCCTTATTCTATAAAAGGAGTAGTGAAGTCATGGAATTCGCTCCTTTTATTCTATAAAAGGAGTAGTGAAGTCATGGAATTTGCTCATTGTATAGTGCCGAATGCATAAAATAGTGAGTACATTTCATTGTCTGTTTACTATGTTTTTAGCTACATTTTGATGTAAATGAGTGATCAGCTACTTACAGAAAGAGCCAAATTGCATAAATTTAAATAATGTAAGGAATAGTAATAAAAAACTCTAGAAGAAAGAATGTTTCATTATTAGAACAGAGAAAGTCATTAAATTTAAGCAATCTAACTGGAAGCATTACCATTACAGGAAATACAGTGTGCTAAACAGCTACAGTAAAAATAAAATGAGATAAAGCAGAACAAATTAATTCATAGCCTTGTTTACCATATTCTGCTGACATTATTGATGCTCATTTTATTTTCTATGAGTATTTTGTGATACACACACTGAATTGAAATTTCAAAAGGTTTTCTCTGATCAAAGCATGATTGTTTGTGAAAATGCATGTACATTAGACTAGTTCAGTAAAGTAAAAATGGGATAAACATCAAAACCTGTCCAGATTAAAAATATGAATAAAGATGAATGTGACATAAGGCAGGAATAAATAAATAAATACATAGATAAAAACATGTAGTTCTCCACTATTACAATGCTAGTTGTGGCCTAGTAGTGGAATACTATTAACTGTCCTTGTTTTGTATATATGTATGTAAAGTATTCTAGATGAATCCTGGAGCATGGTCCTCTGTATCCAGAATAATATTTCAGTGTTTATAAATGCCTGAATCACAACTGGAATGGAGAACTCTGCACACATACCCAAAAACATCTGCAGTTTGTATTGCCCTTGGGAATACAAATGACTGACATTTAAAACAGCACTGTCACTTCCCCTGAAATATTCATATTTCATAAAGATACAATCTTTATGAAATACTCATATTGACTGTTTTGGAATTTCACTCAAATTCCAACCCAGTGAAGAGATATACAGACACAAAGTAGTCAGTATTTTATTTCCGCTTGATACTTCTAGACACTGGGCGTAGTTACCACCATCTAAAAGTGTCAGCAGTGATGAGGTCTGCCAGGAGAAGATGGTGATGCCCACGAGGGACAGACTCAGGTAAGTAGAACTTATCTTGGCCTGCTCCCCTCGGCCATGTAACTGTTGGGGGTCTCTGCAAGTTCTCTAAAGTTCCCAGACAGTGTTACTTTAATGTTTGTATTGTCAAAAGTGCTAGCAAAATCCTTACTAAAACATTAGCAGAGGATCTAACCAATGTTATTTGAACTGAGGTGTTATGCATTCTGTGTGTTATAGAAGATATATTTTTATTTTGCATTCATTCTCTAAAGCTATCGTAAGGATAGTGAGATAAGGAACACAATTAATATAAAAAAGTAATAATTTTTATGTTTTATGTATTCCTACTTTATACTCCTACTTTTTTTTGCTTGCTGGCTATGCACCCTTTGAATCAAATAAATGGTACATGTTTAAATAACACAGTAGTGAAGAGATGTATTCTGTGATATATTATAATTTTTGGAATATCACTATAAACAACTATTTTTTTATTTTTTTATTGAAACGACATAAAGATACAGAAAGACACTACTCGAGGTGGGAAGATATACTTTGTAAGCTCCTCTGAATTCCAGGAAAGCTTTTCCCACATAGAACCTGTTTCATGACTCCCTCTTTATATTATTATTAGGATTTATATTGCGACAAAACATTCATCAGCACTTTAAAAGTATAGAAAGGCAATATCTGAAGGCCCTGCTTAAATGTGTCTGTAGTCTATGAGAATTTGAGGTAGACTGATATATACTGTCTTGCCAAGGGCACTTGTTGAGAGGGTGGTCTGACTGGGACACAAAACTAAACTTCTCAGTTTTAAGGCAGTGACATTAGCACTGCTCTAACTAATGTCCACAGAGACCTCTTAAAAACCATTTAAATTATATTAATATATTTTGTGGGTTTGTTTAATGGATGAAGGTCTTTTGCTTGTAGATAAGTATTTTCTGTTGTTGCCAATGAACCTAAAACATAAACTAGAATTATTTTTTTAGCAACTCTCTTTTTTTTTTTACTTAGCTCCTGTTATTACATGTTTATTATTTGTTTAGTACTTGTTATAAAACTCCCCTAATCATAAGCATATTTAGATTTTGGTGAATAACTCTATAATTTCAAAAAAAATTCTATAACTAAAGTAGAAACATTTTCTTTATGCAGCACTTCTGGCAAAGCAGCAGCATTAAAATGACTGTATGTTCCAACCTCCATCCCTTTAATGTATTGTTATAAATATTATAAATGGAAAAAATAGTAATTAGATAGATTTAATTGCCTTAACACAGAAATTTCAGATCAATACTCGGCTTTAATATTGATCAAGCTGCATGAAGGGAATTCAAGAAAATTTCTCAATTTACCAAGATCAATTAGTAGGCTTGTTAGTGCTGGCAAATTACAGCATTTACATAAAAAGTAATATTTTTTTTGTTAAGAGTTTCTTAGATTAAGTCATTAAATGCTAATAAAATTGTCTAAGTGGCAGCTCTAAATAAATATATAAGCATGTGAAAGTAAAGATTTATTGAAATCATTAGACCAAACAGTGTACTAAAGAATATATATAGTCCAGCATAATAATTGAGCTAATCAGCTAAAAAGATTGATTGGAATCTCCCTTGTTCATATTTCTTGTGTTCATGTAATAATTATATTGATTCAATTTAATTTTCTTGGTTGTTTGTTAACTAAATAATAAATTCAGGAACGTTGACCCAGTTGACCAACTTGACCAAAGTGTAAGCTAAAGACTAACATAGCTAAATTAAATAAAAATAAATAAATTAAGAGAGTTTTTGTTCAATATTTGCTACATTTTCCATAATTTTGCATTATCAAACTTACCTATGGTTATAATCAGACACATCATAGGCTAATTTTGCATTCAGCTAGATATTATTTGTTTATTAGTTGTAACGGAAAATTAAATAATTTAGTTGAAATTACCAAAAGTCTAAAGGTTTATTATTAAAAAACAAAACTGTGTGTAAATCTGTGTGGTAGCCATATAGTACACATGGACAGACTAGTTGGACCGAATGGTTCTTATCTGCCGTCACATTCTATGTTTAGCTAAGTGAGAATGACAATCTATAAAGAAAATATTAATGAGTATATTTTCTCTTTTTGGCTTATGCAAACATATTAATATTATGGAGATCCACGGAGTTAAAAAAATTTAGTCCAAATATTATATTGGTCCTAAGAAGACATAGGAAGGATTACTATTAGATTTGATGTGGGTTTTTATTTCTCTCTTTCTATTAACAAGAAGTTGAAAGTTATATTCAATGCATTTTACAACCAAGTGAATTATGCCATTTTACGAAGAAGTTAAGAAGATATAGACATTTTTGTTAAAGGAAGAAGGCAAAATGCTAATCTTGCAAGTGCCCTATTCTTACTTGGTTCCAAATCAGCCATGCCTAAAATCTTAGGAAAATCTAGATGGCTAGAAAGTATCTATGGAATTTTAAACTTCAATGTGTGTACATTATTGTTGGTTTATCAATGTTTAATCAATCTACATGGCATATTTATTGCTTAAATGTTTTACCCAGGCTAGTTTTCAAAGTTCATATATATTATTGATGTAAGAGCAAGAAAAATTTAATATTCAAAACAGATTTTATACGTTCGTTAAAGTTAGATCTCCTCGTTTTTGTAAATTTATTGTTTATATTTCTCTCAGATTGGATGTGGGGACTCCCTATGCTAATACTGCGCTAAAGGTTTTCTTATGGAGCTTATATCCAGAATTACACCTCCCACAAACCCCTCAAAGGATACCTTTACTATGCAAAGCCGGGATAGCCATGCACCAGGGCAGACAGCCCCCTTAGTTCTATGCTCAGGAACATTAAACACCCCTTGAGGGGGAAAAAAAACAACAACATTATATAATTCAGGATTGTATGTTGCTTAAAGAGTAATTTGTAGTGTACTTGCAATGTTAAAGGGATCTATAGTTTCTAAAACAACTTTAACTTAATGAAGCAGCTTTGGTGTATAGAGCATGCCCCTGTAGTCTCACTACTCACGTTTCTGCCATTTAGGAGTTAACCCCTTAAGGACTGGACTGTTTTTGCGATGTTGTACATTTGCGACCAGGCATATTTTTACACTTTTGTGGTGTTTGTGTTTGGCTGGAATTTTCCGCTCTCTCATTTACTGTTCCCATACAAATTATATATTGTTTTTTTCAGGACAAAAGAGGCTTTCTTTACATACCATTATTTATATAATCTCATGTATTTTAATTTAAAAAAAATAAAAAAAATATGATGAAAAATTGAAAAAAATACATGTTTTTTGACTTTTACTTGAAAAATCTTTTACTCATCTACAAAAGCGAATGGAAAAAAAACTGCTAAATAGATTAAAAATTTTGTCCTGAGTTTAAAAATACCTAGTGTTTACGTGCTTTTTTGCTTTTTTTTTTGCATGTTATAGGGCTATAGGTACAAGTAGGATATTGCGGTTTCAAAACATACATTTTTAAAATTTATCAATAGTGACATTGTAACACTATTATCTGTCATAAATCTCTGAATAACACCCCACATGTACATATTTTTTTTAAAGCAGACAACCCAGGGTATTCAATATGGGGTATGTCCAGTCTTTTTTAGTAGCCACTTAGTCGAAAACACTTGCCAAAATAAGCATTCATATTTGTTTGTGTGTGAAAAAAGTAAAAAACTAAACTGAACGCTAATTTTGGCCAGTGTTTGTGACTAAGCGGTTACTAAAAAAGACTTGACATACCCCATTTGCAATACCTTGGGTTGTCTTCTTTTGCAAATGGTGGTATTTGACCTTGTAACTTTCAAAAATACTATAAAACCTGTACATGGGGGGTACTGTTTTACTCAGGAGACTTTGTTGAACACAAATATTAGTGTTTAAAAACTGGAAAACGTATCACAACAATTATATCATCAGTAAAAGTGTTGTTTGTGTGTGAAAAATGCAAAAAAAGTCACTTTCACTGACAATATCATC